TAGTATTAAGAATGAACACTGTATAACGGAACAATTACAATAGTATTGAGAATGAATAGTGTATAACGTAACAATTACAATAGCATTGAGAATGAACAAGTATTGAACACTATAAACAGTACTATGTAAGGATACAAGGTTGACATTATACAATATGGAGTAAGAGTAGAATAGCGTAAGGATGATGTCCCATGCTGTTGATAGCATGTTACATCGATGTATCTCTTGGCACATAGAAAATTTTCCCCTTTCAGCTTATCAGTCAGATGACAATATATCTGGCAATAATAATCTTTGTAATAGCATGCAACAATAAAAAAAGAAAGATAATTGTATTATAAGCAATAAATAGATCTTCAATAACGAAATGAATATGTATAGATACATGATTATTCGATAATAAAATCCATGTATGTTGACTGACAAAAAAACAATTTATTTACGTTTTCGAAATCGATATAAGCTAATAGGATGGACTTAGGGAAGTTTGAAATTCTTAATGTTGAGACTACAAGAGACGGAATCTGAATCATAGTGTGCAACAATCGTTACACAAATATCTTTACTCTGATCATCGTGAAAAGTCTACATTCTAAGCAGTTCCAATTAAAATTTTTGTCGTACTGAGTCTCTTCTTTTTCTTTCAAACCTAAGACTCGTTCAATTTGAGACTTCGAATGGACTAAATTTTTCATTTAGTTGGAATGAGATAGAATACGACCCGATATTAATACTTGTATATACTTGATTAAATGAAATATTTCATTCATTAGACTATTAGATGAGAGTCGATGGTAGAGTTTATAGGCGACTTTTAAAAAGCACTTTGTTCAAAATAAAAAATATTTAATTGACTATCATGCAAACTATTTTTCGTTAAAAACTTTCAAGTAGCTATTTACTGCATACTAAGAATATCGTACGCTACATCGAATAGTTGGATTTTATTTATGAGAGTACATTGTCATGTCTTCTGAGATTTCGATCCAAATCATGAAAAATAAAAGTTTTACATCTATATCGAAGTTATTTGATGCGATCTAGTGTCAGAATTGATGGAAAATAGTTATAACTACTTGTACTTATAATATGTCTTTATAGTTTCTAAAGAGAATTCATAGTAACTTACAGAAAACAATAACTCGATTAACAATGAAAATTTGTCTCACGAATACACCTCTCTCTTTTCTTTTTCTTGTGTTCACGCTTCATTAATTTTTTTTTCTACCCTACCAATCAATCCTTTGTACATCACAAATCATTTCATCATTTATTACACACCATGTGGCCAAACAAATGTATCAAAAGAAGCCTTTTCATACCTCAATCAATAATATAAAACGTACATATCCAAGGTGAAGCTAGAGTATCAGCAAAAATACTAAATCTATGATAGTAAGCTGCAGAAAACAGACATGAAAATCACGCCAAGAGTATGTTCAATTATTCACTATTATTTAAGTCACACAAAGACAAAAATGGCTAATGGCTGCGTTTTCTCGAAAACAAAATCTGTTCGAGTATAGAGTATGGATATATTTCATCATTTTTTATGGTCAATTAGAAGAGGTAAGTAATAGTTTATCTCAATTTTAGCTGTAATACTAATTCGTGTGGCTTTGAAACTTGACAAAGCTAAGAGTAAACGCATCATTATTTATCTGAGGCATAATCATCGGTATTTTCTTTCTCTTGCATGAAATAATAGATATGAGTGACGTGTGATCTCTCCATAATATTAAAGATAAGCATAACAGAAAAGCGTACAAATAGATAAGATATGCATTTTTTAAAAATAAACTGACAGAGAATGATAGAAGTAGTTTCACATGAATATGCCCAGAATTAGGAGTATGTGGCTGTAGTTTCAATGTCATGTATTTGTATCAAGGAGGAAAAAGCAGACTTCTATACTTCTTCGTGTTTCTGCTTATGTTCCTACACTTCTGACATTTCTTCATTCTTCTCTATACTTCTGGTACTTTTCGAAACTAATTTGTAGTTCTTCGTACTTCACTATACTTCTCCATATTTCTTTATATCTCCCCGCACTTCCCCACATCTCTTCATATTTCTCGACACGTATATGTGATTGTATTTTATTTTTAGGTATGCCTTTCACTTCAGAGATAAAAGAAACCTACAATCAGTTTCTTCGTATAATATAGTTTTTCATTTAAAAAAACAAACAATTAACGAAAGTAGAAGTTACAGTTGAAAAAAAAGTATCAGTCCTCTTTTTATGTTTTCTTTTTTGCACTAACATTTTCAAAGAGAAGAAAATTACGGCTTTTCTCTTTCTCATAATAACGACCACAACACAATAGAAAGCTTGCGCAGAAAGAGAACTGATATTTATTATAACTATGATAAAAACAAAAGGACTAATGCTGAATATTAAACAGAAATGTTAATACTCATTAAAAAAATCACGGTAATTCGATGGAGAAAAAGCGCGATTACAGTACTCTCAAGAGAACGAGTGAAGTACTGGTGCAGTACCATTGAGAACGGGCTCCACTGGTACTCCAATACTGAAGTCGCGCTTTTTTCCCTTTGTGGCCATTGCATGATAACAAAACAGGTAATCTAACAAAGACATATGAAATGAACTGAAATAATCTACCATGGAATTGAAATAGAAAAAATTAACTTGGATGCTACTTATTTTCTTATGGTTTTGTTTATTTTCGCTGTTGAATAAATATATTCAGTTAACAAAAACTGTCGCATCTTACTGTAAAAATTAATATACTTCACAGTACTTCCATACACTTCATGATGCTTCTCGATACTTTCCTTTACTTCTTGGTACTTTCCTATATTTCTCAATACTTCTTGATACTTCTTGATACTTCGTAGCACTTCGTAGTACTTCTTGATATTTCTCGCTACTTCTGTACTTCTTCGTACTTCAGAAGTACAGAAGTCTGCTTTCTCTCCTTGCCTGCTATGGTCTATGATGACCATAGAGCTTGTCTAACACGGTCCGTAATATTTGTAGAACATATGACAACAAATTTTAAAAGATGTTATCCAAATATAAGCCCTGAAAAAAAAGATTGGTGCACTCCCATCTTTTTTTAAATATGTTCTCGTTTTCGAATCAGTTTGCATGATGAAATCATGCTCTTCCAAGTAGTAAATAAATGGACAAATTGCTGTTCTATATTTTTCTACAAAAAAATAGGCACATTCAGAACCTTTCGGATTCACAACGAATGACCTTTACTGTTGCAAAAAAGTGTTGCTATATCTGAGTACTTTTTAAGTTTATTTTTAATGCATCAGTCAGGAAAATTTGAGGACTATTTTATGATAAGCTACAGCGAAGACTAATATTACTGATAGACTATATTTTACCGGTGAAATTATCAGTTAACTACGATTTAACGCTAAAATTGATCTGGTTTTTGCGACATGGGGACATTTGCGTATAAGCCCAACTATAGGAAACACATACACATATCGGTGGACAGATCTATATGCAAGAACCAAGCATAAGTATAAATATAAAAAAAGAAGCTGAGGTTGCAGAAACAGATACAAGAGTTGGAGATAGATATAAATGAATACAGATAGATATTGATGGAATATGTACAGATCTAATGACATTGTATTAGATGTCGTACAAACTTTCGACCAACAATCAGTTTTTAGGCAAAGGCAATCGTACTATACAACTCTTTCTTCTGTACAAACAAAAACGCAAAAAAGTTACAGTATTTGTTTAACTCTTTCAATCTTCATAAAATTTCTTATGGAACCCTTTCTTAGTAAGCTTTCTCAACCTTCGAAAATCACTTCAGTTGTATAAAATTTCATATTTCTCTATTGGATCGTATTTAGTGTCAATATAATAACATTTGTCTCTATTTCAGATAATACATTAACATCATGAAAAAATATGCAGTAAAATCGACATATATCCCAACACAACGTTAGAATAGGATAATAAATAAAAGCTCGAAAAACCCAAACTACACATCTCTGAAAAAATCAATATCTTCAAAATCATGCAATCTTTCTATATCAATTTAAAACCATATTAAATCTTTTCATTATATTTATTTAAAAAAACATCAATTCTGGACAACTTCCATTACAAATATGTATACACTCGGTTGCGAGCTCCTGACTAAAAACATGCTGTGCCACATTATTCAATCATAAAACAACTACAAAACATTCACGCAAGGCATTATAAAAAATACATAATATTGCAATTTCTCAAATCTACTCAGCTCAATCATCCAAATAAGATGATAAGATAAAAGAAAGTACCATGTGCCATCAAGCTCTGAAGAATGTTAATCAATATCTTGATATGTCATCAAAAAAAACATTCAACAAAATACACGATAACAGACAATCAATGATTTATACATAAAGTATTCAATATTAAGTACATCCTACCATTTTAATAAACGAGCTGTAAGATTGACTTCTGATGGAGAAGTGGTTCGAATTCTCATATATACAATCAATCAACAACACAAATCTCGATGATAATGATACAACATATAACAAAATAAACATCAAACTAGATGATTACAAGTTATTTTCCACATATTTTTTATTACAACCAGAATGAACCACGTCTGAAATAATAGAGACGTAATCTAAATCACATGAAAATTCAAGAAAAACTATGAAATAAAAGAATACATACTTACCACACTCAATTTTTCAATCTATCACCTTTGTATCAACAAGTAGATAAAAGAAACTTCATCCATACGAATGCATTCATGTGGTCTCTTGTACATCTCCATTAAAACTTCGTCTTGATACGCCACATTGTGTGTAATACTAC